TTCTCTGCTTGTATGAAACGTTGTTTGGAACTCTGTACAGAACACTCTGCTACTTTCCTCAGATTTCTCTCTAAGAAACCAGCGTGAACAGTAAATGATTTAGAACATATTTATTGTGTTCTGTTAAATGTCTGATATCACTGCAAATAAAATGAAGTTTCTAGTGTAGAGTTAACCATAAGGACTAATCATATGGTCTTTATTATTCTCAACCAAAAATACTTACTGGCTTCAGGAGTGTTTAGCAGTCTCTGAATGTCCATTGTCTATGTATCAACCAAAAGATACATTTTTTTTTAGAGTAAAGATCTTGAAAAATACCTAAAATTACGAGTAAAGTGAGGTAAAGTGGTACTATTTTAAAACTGTGGAACATTGAGGTCATCACAGGCGATCTGTCACATGGTACGTGGCCTCTCCGTGTGACATCCACTAGCTCTCTAATACATCCAGAGATAGAATATGCTCAGCCTTGAAAGACAATCCACTATTTTTTTTTAAAAATTCTTACACTGATCCCTATTTTACAGCTTTTCCCCTAGTTTAATTATGGAGCTACTTTTCCTTTTTTTCCCTTGCTTACATGTCCTTTCTTCTTTTATTTATGTTCTTTTAGAATCCAGGGCATTGGTATCTTCATGTCTTTTAAACTCTTTTTGTTTTTACTGGGAAAGATACTGTTCATAGAAATTTTGTTTTTAAAACTTGCTTTTACTGTAGTCACATTCCTGTTAGAATCCTGGCTGTTGGTATAACACTTATGTCTTCCCTGAACATTTTTGAAATTCTCTATCCCAAAGTCTCAGGTGACTATGGATTTGCTTTCCTTTGTGCCTCCATAAAGGAAAATGGCACCATCTCATGTCTCTAGATTCACATCATTCATTTGGAAAGTACACGACCAGATAATCTATCTCAGAGTTATGGAACCAAAAGGTTGACAGGCCAAATTAAATCAAATCAATGTAAAACAAAACAAAACAAAACAAAACAAAACAAAAAAACAAAAACAAACAAACAAAAATCAATGTAAAACACATAGCAAGAAGCAAGGGGAAAGAACTAATGTAGGTCAGTACAGTTAGGATAAGGTGCAAGCAACATGGATGAACCATGCCACCTGGATCCTAAGGCCACAATGTGGATCTCTCTGTCTCTCCCTCCTTCTCTCTGTCTTTGCCTCCTCTGTTCCTCCCTCCCTCTGTAAAGATTTTGTCCTCCTAATGGTTCCTTACCTGTATTGAGAGCCCTAATGTAGAGAAATGATGAAAGAGAAAATGGTTGCTGTTGATTAGGACAAAAAGAAATTTAAAGGTCAAGCTAAAGAATGTGATCCTACATCCTGTGGGTATCTCCCTATAAGCACAAGCATAGTACAATGGCACCTCGTGATATAAAACAGAGTTTTATTCATTATTTTAGTGAGTTTTGTGATCATGAAAATCTACTTAGAAAAGGTAATTTTTATATATGTATATTTTTTACCATCATTAAGAGTATGAAACAATATGTGGTAATTTAGAGGAAATATTTTTAAAAAGAGAAAAAAAGCTTTAGCATTAAATTCAGAATTCACTGTTTAAATCCCATTCTCCCAAGCAAGCCTTTCACAGAAATAACTCTAGCCTATCTTGAGCCAATCATCTCTCCTACCACATTTAAAACTTCAAGGGAAATACCTTTACCTTATGATCAGTTAACCTTACCTTCTCAGTAATTCCTTTTCTGATTAGCACCAAAGGTAAGTTCCACTCTTTAGAACCTCTCTAGTATTTACTTTAAATCTCCCTTCTCATCTGGTCCTTTTTATTTTTTTACATTTCTGTCTTTATTATAACTATTTATATATTAGTCTTTTTCACTTAACTTTAAGCTTCTTAAAAATCAAAATCACATCTTACTTATATTTGTATTCCCCACAGGGCTTCCCATGGTAACTTCCTTACACATAGATGATACTCAACAAGTATTGTTAAATGCTTGGAAGAACTGTTGTAGAACTCAATTTAGTATCCCAGGAATCAGCTCAGAGAGTAGCAATTATCCCCTAGAACAAGGGGTAGCAACATCTTTCTGCAAATATTAGTAACTCTTTTAGAGTTTGCAAGGTAAAAGGCAAAAATCAAGGCTATTACTTAAGAACTTACATAACAAGAAAGAAATTGTCACAAAATGTTTATTTATAAAAGTTAAATATATTAATTTATTAAAAATTTTTGTGATATAAGTCTACTAATGAAGTGGAATTTTTTTTGCAAAGGGGATAACATTTAGCTTATTACAGTTTCCTATCATCAAAATTTCATTTGTTAATGCTGACTTATAATGAAATTCTGTATATTTTACATATTTCATCTTTGAAAATTCTTTCACACAGATGTGTACTGCCAAATACTGCAATGCATGAGCATATGATTTTAATTGAGTCTATTCATTGCTTGGAAGGATTTTATAAAACTCTGTTAGAGTCTTCTCTCGGTATTTGCCTTTTAGCATGTCATTACATGGTAGATTAGTCATTTTAATTGAAGTTTAGGTAGAAAATTCTCAACTAAACAGTTAAACGGATTTTTAAATGTAGAAATTTCTTGCGTCTAGGTCTGAAAAATGTTGCTGAAACTGAGCTCAGAAAATCCACCCACTGCAAATTTGTGTCAAAATGAAGATCTCACTTCTTGTTTTAATTTTTGACAGCAAGGGAAGTGTAGAAAGCTACTTGACATTGCTTGTGATTCAAACATTAGTTTTCATCGAAATGACTTTATCATAGTCTATGTTTCGCATGTGAGCACTGTTTTGGCTTGCAAGTTTTGGATGAACTCATGAATAAACATTAAATAAGTCTGCAGCAAAATCAATTTCAAAAGTCATGTATCATTCAGTAAGAGAGTTGAGGGCAGCTCTCACTCGAGAAAACTTCAGTCTTAGTCTCAAAAATCTCAGTAAAGCTTTATCCCTGCTAAGCCATCAAACTGCTGCATGATAGTCAGGATATTCAGTTTTTATTTTGATGAAAAAATTCACAGAACCAATGAAGGTTAAACTTATGAGTCAATGGAGTTTACTCCTGACACTACTGGCTCCATAACATATGCTGGATTCAAGTTTTTCTCAGAGTACCTGATAGTGAATAATGTAGTGAACATTCATAGCTCTAAATACCTTAACATTTTCACTAGTTTTGTTAGTTTGTCTAGTAAGTCTTTTCCCAATCCATTGCTGTTAGTTTTGTCACATTGTAGCAGATTCCACTTCATGTTGTACTGATTTAATATTTTAACTTACTTGAAAATATTCTCCCCTACAGCCACTCCAAAACTATTCATACAGATTAATTCTTCAGGCACTTCAAACCCAGCGTTAACTCCTCAAATAAATGACTGAATAGTATTACTAACACTTACGACTCATCAAGAGGCAAGGGAAACCACCTGAAAGCATTTGCCTTGGTTTGGATTTTTGCTTCTAACAGAGGCACTGGGGATTGAGCCCAGCAGCTCGTGCATGCTAAGCACACACTGAACTGCTGAGCTCTACCCTTCCCACCCACCTCACTTTTAATTGACTCTTGATTCTGCTCCAGTGTCCCCAACATTTCAAGCAACTATTCTTGCCAAAAGGCTAACAAACAAGTTTATTTTTGTTGCACAATTTAATTAAATCTATTAGTAAGTGACTTTCCTTGTTGGACTAACAAATGAACCACTCAGAAGCATAACTTTAGTTGCAATTTCATCTTCATATTTTTTGAAGAATTTTTGTTGTGATAAAATACTCCATTTTAAATTTCCTAATTTTTCTAACTGTTATACTTCTGGGAGGTAGGACTATTGTGTCAGGTGCTTGGTCTGATGTTGCTGTATATTGTATATTTTCTAGCACTAACTACAGTGTCATTGCATAATGAACATAAAGCTTTGACATCTGATTTGATCACAAAATAATTTGCATTCTGCTGTGCCTTAATTCAAAGCCACTTTTTTCTTTTTGTCTTGATACAACCGATATGCACTGATAATAAATAAAATCTCACAGTAAGTCAGTATATGTTCCCCTTGAAACACTGTCAAGTTATAATTGCATCATGGAAATTTGCAGTGCAAAAGCAGCAGTGGGAAGCAATGAGCGCTTTACACAGTTTCTGCCACTAATGGACTCCGCCATTATAGCACAGAACAGCCACAGACAGTGTATAAATGAATGAGCATGGCTGTGTGCCAATAAACCTTTATTTATAGATACGGAATTCTAATTTCGTATAATTTCCACACCTTGAAATATTCTTCTTCTTTTAATTTTTTTCAACATATGAAAATAATATAATGTAAACTATTCTTAGCTCATGAGCTCTACATAAACGGGATGGATTGGATTCGGCTTGCAAACCATAGTTTAGCAACCTCGTTTTAGGATTTGGCTTTGAGGAAATACTGTTTGCTTGCTTAACTTTATTCCCAATCAAACAATTTTAGTAAACTGTCTGGAATCATGTGTGATTGAAAAGTAGAATATTATTTTTTAATATGATAATTGACATACTAGTTTCAAGTGTATAATACAGTGATGTAATATTTGTATGTATTGAGAAGTAATGACCACAGTAAGTCTAGTTAACATCGAGCAGAATATTCTTAAGGGTACATTAATCAGGTATTAGAGTTGCCATGCTCACTAGAGTATAACACAAAAAGTTTGAATACATAGACGTACTTTATATCTAAGCTACTAAAGTCAGAAAATACTGGTGGACTTTGTACGGCTTCTATATTTTTATTTAAAAACCCAAGACCATAACATTAACTATAATTAGAAATTTTAGGTGAGCCAACACATCATTTACCACTTCACTCATTTGGGAAAGAAGCCCAGGGTAAGTCTGAAGCCTGGGCAGGGTGTCAGCAGCAGCCTTTCTGAACACCAGCCCTTCCTTCATTTATTGAGCCTCTGGATAGATTTCCTAGGAACTGCCCCAGTCTTCATTTCTTATCTGTGTTATTTAGGGCATCAGAGGCAGCCCAGGAAGAGCAGGACTGGCTGGGTCTCCAGGTCCTCGAGGAGCAAAGGGTTCATCAGGCCTGCCAGGAAGCCCAGGAGTTCTAGGCCCGAAGGTAAGTTCCTGTTGGTTCTGATGGGTGAGCAGTACTGACCATCCTTTCTGGCTCTGAGTTTATTGGCTAGGTCATAGTATGGTAAGATTAATAGCTTTTAATAAAATTTGGTTAATAATAAAACCACCTTAGGAAGAAAGGAAAGTATGAGACCTTGACGTAGCCATCTCCCGCGACAGCCGCAGGGCATGTAATTTGCCAAAACAATTCATTAACCCGGGGCTGGTGATGCTTTAAAAAATATATTTTGTCTCATTTTGGTTCTTCTTCCCTCTCTGTCATCCAGCTTATCCTCTAAAACAGAGAAGTCTTACTTACTTCCAGTTACATACTTTCCCAGATAACACTGCCTGTTCCTCGAAGTCTGAACCTAACCAACCAGTTAAGAAATCTGATAGGAGTACAGACTATTTCTTAAAGTCACAATGATGGTGACTAAGTCTTGCCTTAACATTCACTGCATGGAGTGTTGTCACATGTCAGCAGGCTTTTCATACAAAAGCTCTCTTAGAAATATCTCAATGCAAATTTGACCCAGAAAACTAAGAGATTAGTCCAATAATACTATTTCATAAAAGACTAGGATTAAGACACTGGCACCTTCATCATTATTGCCTCTTAATTTGATTTTCAGAGTTCCACTTCTACAGAATTTTGATGTATTCTGATCCATATTGGTAAAATGAAAATGAATTTGAGCCTTTCTGTGGATGTTTATACCATGAACCTCCCTTTTCACTAAAATGCAAGATTACTGAGCAGATACTAAAATCAGGAAAAGAAATAAGAAATATCCCCACTTTCCAAAGCTGTATCTTTATCTCAAAACAGTGAAGGATAATTTGCGAATCTTAGAGCTCTTTGGTCAAAGTCTACCAAGCATCGTTTTTCATTAATCTGTCTGTAAACTCCACCTGCTTCCTAAGTTTATTTTTAGAAATGGTAAAAGCTATTGCAAGTCTCATTTCAAAAACAAAATAAAATAAATTTTGAAAAGACCTGACTTTTGAAAATAAAATAATGATAATTAACTGTATCTTGAAAGTGAACTTTTAGGGGGTAAAGAGGGTTCATAATCAAAGGAATCTTGGGAAACAGACAATGGGAAATTTCTTAATGATGTAATTGAAAAGATAATCATGGCAAAAACCATGGTTCACACTTCAAAAGATCCCCTGCTCTGTTTCTGGTATCAGATGGCTGAATCATCTCTGTATGGTAGAGAGAACACAGCAAAATAATTTCAATTCAAATAAAATACAAGTTCCATCTCTTGCAAACACCCCCACACATACCTCACCCTCACCACTCTCTCTGTAGCCCCACTCTCTTCCTCCTACTTGAGCAGGCCTCCTTCCCTCCTCTTTCCACAGTCATGACCACAATCTCTGGAATTCTCTTTCCCTACTGCCACTCTTCTTGTTCATTGTAATCAAATATTATGTATGTGGAAAATATTGGTGGGGAGAATGACTGTGCAGATTTTGACTTCCCCAGTGCCTTGTCTAAGGATGGGCCAATATTTGGATTTCATTTAAAAGCCAATATGTTTATAGGTTCTAAAGTCAAGATCACTTTTTTTGTGTGTGTGCACAGGGTGAACAAGGGCTACCTGGTCAACCTGGAATTCAAGGTAAAAGAGGTCACCGAGGAGCACAAGGTGATCAAGGACCATGTGGAGAGCCTGGCATGAAAGGGCAGCCAGTATGTGCCAACTCAGAAATTCATTAAGCACTTACTCTACAGACCAGGTCACCATCGTACGATAATGATTATCGTATCTATTCACGTTGCAGGGAGAACATGGTGTTCAAGGATTGACAGGTTTTCAGGGATTCCCAGGCCCCAAAGTATGTGTACATATTTTCTGCTGGTCTTCTAACTATCTAGAAAAAAAAGATATTGAAATAAATTTTGTCTTTGACTTGAGCTTTTTTTAATCTGCAAAATTTCAGTTGGCACAGTTATGTATTTGAGTTTTGAATACGTTAATTTTAGAACTTACAGAGCTATATATTTTCCTAGCAGTTTTATTGAATAATTTGCTTTTGTCTCCTCTTACTCTGTTTTCCCATTTTATTATGAACAATTTCAAACCGTCAGTAAAGCTGAGAGGAGTAAACACTCATGTCACCTAGATTCTACCATAACATTTTAATCTACTTGCTTCATTATGTACCTGTCCATCTATCTATCCCTCTCTCAACCCATTTTTGGTGTTTTTCAAAGTAAATCATAGACCTCAGTACAAATCCCTCCAAAATATTTTAGCCTGTACATCATTAACTGTCACATTCCGTTTTTTAAGAACCAATTCTTGATAGGTTGGTACAAGATTATCTCATTTGTAAAATGTTCATATTTTTGACTTTTGGGTTTTTTTATTGTATTTCTAGGGTCCTGAGGGAGATGCTGGCATTGCCGGAATATCAGGTCCTAAAGGTCCTATTGGACGGAGGGTAAGTATAAAGTCATTCTGCCTGCCCAGAAATTATGATTCTTTGCTGATTGTAGGAACTGGGGTTACAAACTCTAAAATTAACTTACTCCAAATTAATAAAATGGCTTTTAAGATAGAAACTCATTAGAACACGTGCAGAGATTCTCAACCTTTTTCAGTTCGTTATTTTGAGCAAAAGCCCCCAGAGTCCACCCATATTTCCGAGTTCTTACTTAGCAAAAGGTAAGAATGAATATGACTACTGGTTAATGTATTTATTAACTCACACCAGGAGCAAAAACAAAGCAGTTTCTTGTTATAAGCAATAATATAACCAGAGACTAGACACCACCCCCATGCACCACCTGGAGGAGGCTTGCCTATGACCAGAGCTCCTCAGACCATACTTTGAACAATGTTTCCCAGAAGCTGTGTTTCCTCTGCTCAGGGGTAGTGTCCCCAGAGAGTGATGAGACACTACTTAGAGTTGGAAAGATCAGGGCTCTGAAGAACTCCCATTAGCTGTTTAGTGCCTGGAACTGCAAACTGTAGAGAACATAAATAGAATAGGTAAGTCACCAGTTGGTCCTGGTTATTGTTTTTGCTTGTTTGCTTGCTTTTTTGTTTAACCACACTCTCCTAATTGATGAGATGATCTGTAAAACTAAAGAGGAAAAAAAGCTATAGAACATCAAAGCATTGGTTTGACTGTAGTAGTCTCACCTCTGCGACTAACAGGAGCTGTTGAGGCCAGGATGGAGAGAGTGCAGAGGAAGGAGGAGCGCGGTTCAGACATAGGGGGAAGGAATCTTGAAGGAGAACTTCACAACTGAAAACCGCTATCTAGTAAATGAAAAGTCAGATTTTTGAAATCCTACACCACTTCCCTAACTCTTAGAATAAATTATTTTCCATAATACAAAGAGCAATGTTGTCATGGGAAATGTTTATTTAAAAGCCCCTCTCAGCATTTCTGCAGGTGCAAACTTATTAGTTATGTTTATAATAATGTCTGAAGAACCATGGGAAATTGGTGCTTTTATGTAAAGGCCAATTCTTGATCATCGACAGATGGGTTATATATGGATAGGTTCCTCTGTAATAAATACTGCTTTTAGGTCCCTACATATATCAAGTTCCCCAGTTAGTAAATTCATTCATGCTAATTTTATTAAGTTCTCAGTTAATTAAATCTTTTCGTAATACTGTCCAAGAGAAGTTGGCTGCCCGTCCAGCCCGTCTTAGGTAGAATCATCCAAGGACTCTGCCCCTGTAAGCCAGGGTCTGACCTTATCCTGCTTTGCAGCTCCAGAAATGCTTTCAGCTTTCCAGGAGTAAAGTTACAGTAACTAGCTCACAAATATTAATTTGCAAGTGCAGATATTCCTTTATAGAGACCAGTGAAAAGTCTTGCTAGGTTAATATTTAGCAAAAAACTATTATATTACCAGGTACTGGTGTTCAGTTTATATCCCTGTGTTATTTAATTCTGGTAAAAACTCCTGTGAGAGATTCTATTATCCCCATTTTACTGGTAGGGAAACTAAATCTCTGGAAAGTCATTTGCTGAAGGCCATAGATGGCTAGTACGTAGAAGAACCAGAATTTGAATCCACATCTAATTGACTGAAAAGTATGTTAGAGGTTGCTTGCTAATTGCATAATTAGAAAGTAAAATGAATATTAAGTGGCCTAAGTGCTTCATTCTTGCTCAATAATCAATAAATATTTGATGGTTAAATAAAGTAACTGATGTAGGAAATGTGGATTAATTATCTTCCATTTCAAAGATGTATTTAGGTACCAACCATTAAAACCATAGCACCTCATCTTTTGGACACATTTAGATAAAAATAGATAATTTTTGGTTCTTTGGATCTACTCTTTCTAGAGATCATGTTTACCTCTACATTTTTTAAGCAAATAATTATTTCAGAGAGTCAGATCATGGCCAAATTTGTTAGATTAAAGCTTTCTTGACTTTTTTTTCAGTGATAAGCCAATCTAGAAGATATATATTGATTAGGTTAAAAATCAAGTCTCTTGAACTTTGAGATTTTGGTACCATATTTTAAAATTATCACTTAAAGTAGATCTTCATGTTTGAAAGTGATCTTACTAGATTTACTTTTTAGAGTCTCAAGTAATTTCCCTCATTCTAAGCCAACTTAATACTAAACATATCTGTCCAAGCCATCTGCATGGCATTATAATTGTCTAAATTAATAGTACTTTATGTACCTTGGCAGGAGGTGGACAAAGAAAAAGCCTGTTAGATATCTACATTTGTATATTCCAAGTGTGAGCTAGAAAGACTGAAATTTGTAGCCGTTGGGATTGGTGGTTGAAGGAAGATAACTAAGACAGGTACTTTGTGTTCATTAAGAAATGATGGGCTTCATCCTTAGTTTGGGCGTTGACCAGTTTGGGCTTATTCAAGGTTATCATCATAATCAAATAATAGCTTATACTCTCAAAATTGTTTTTCACATTTAATTCTCACAGTGGACCTATGAAGTAGGCATTCATATTTTACTGATGAAGAAACCCGAAGTTTAGCTGGTCACAAATGGTGCCCTCTTATTCTTTCCCATTATTGGTGCTGCGTGTCACTCAAACATCTGCTCCTTCAACATCTGTAAAGAAATTTACTTAAAATTTTGCCCATGACTCTATGTATTCTTTTTTTATATAAAGTAATTGCGTTTGTTATGCAATGACACACATATAAAATGGCATCACTGAAGGTATCACCATATAAGAATTACAATGCTGATTTATCAGTTTGTTAGAAATTATGCACATGTAATGTTCCTGATAGGAAACTATAATAATATGCAGAATTGTGTCAAATCAAAATTACTATGATTTCTGCTAATATCATAAGATTCTGTAATAAAAACTGTAATTATGTGAACATGAACTATTTTACCACTCTACAAGACATTTTCTAGAATTTTTCTGAATTATACTGGCAATGAGACTGACTGTTTTGTTTGTTTTTACCTCAACAGGGAAACACTGGCCCCCTTGGCAGAGAAGGCATAATAGGCCCAACAGGTAGAACTGTAAGTCTGTCACAGTAGAGGCCTTTCTTTTTCCTTTTCATAGTTTTAAAAAATTTAATACAATTCTAGAATACTCCATGAAGGACCACCCTGGGTATTTGAGGAGTAAAGGGCAAACATAGGTGTACATTTTCCTCTGAAGGTTATTCCTGAGAATTTAGAGACCATGTATATGTGAGGAAGGTGTGTATAGTGAGGTAGGCACTTAAAACTGGAGTCAAGAAAGGAAAATATAACTGGGCAGGGGAGGAGGGGTTGAGCATCATAAGCATGGGAGTGATCACTAAAGCAATTTAAAACACATCCGTCTTCTGAAGGAGAGAGCATAGCAAAAGATGTGCAGATAGCTAAGATTGAGTCTTTGGAAGTGCCCACTATAAGGAAAGAAATAGGTGGTGGGAATACCAAGAAAATCAGAAAAACACAAGGTTAAGATAGATCAGTTTGAAGAAAGGAGTAGCTAAAAGTGATCTTTAAGACAATAAGTTGCACTAGAAAATAGAGTACAGCTTGCAGTAAAGAAGAAAATAGACAAAAATATTGAATAATAGCTTTTCTCAAATTCTTACAGCAAACATTTCGAGTAGGGAGGATTATTTACATTTATGACATAAGGAAACAGATGAACTTTATAAAGGTTGCCTAGTTATTCAAGATGATACAGGTAGTGAATTACACAGCTGACACTTCTTACTTCAAGACCAGTGCTCTTTCCATTCCGTTCAAGCTATGCCTGGAGAGGAAACGGAGACAGTTAGTGTATGCCAGTGCCTTAGGAAATCTTGCTGTGCAGTAACAGAGAGAAATAAGACAATGGTTGGGGAGGTGGTCATGGGAGAGTTTTACAGTGCCCACAGTAGTGTAAGCACACAGGAGGAAGAGCCCAGCAGGGCCAAGGTGAGTCTTGGAAAGCAAAGATTCATTCTCTGCAGGGAATTAATACTTTGGATCTTTGAAAATGTTATATATATGAGACACAGAGTTTTAAAATGTAAAATGGAATGCTTCAAATAATGAGTATAACTATTTATTTTTTGATAAATTTAGAGAAGAATTCACCACCAAAGTTACTGGCTTTTTAACTTAAAAAAATGAAATATATAACTCAATATTTCTCTAGATTTGCAGCATTTACCATTCAGGGCGATGTAGTCTAAGTGGGAGATTGCAAGTGGGAGAATTCTCATACTTCAGTGGGTGGTTCTGCAGCAAGCTAAGGAACGCATAGTGTTCTGATTATGGAATGATTGTTCTCCTCTGTCAAAAATGTGAAATATTAATTGGTCAAGGAAAATGTGATTAAAAATGGCTCAACTAAAATATCATACTGTGTTTTGTTTATAGATAGTTCTTAAAGGCCCTTATGATATTCAGCATGCACATCAAATTTTTTCCTTTTTTTTCTTTCATTCTAAGGAGAACTTCTAAGGAAAGTTTTCTATGAAAAAATAAGTATTTGAGAATGGCTGAAATATTGTGTAAAAATAATCGTGGGGGATGGAGGACTTGCTTTTCCAAATAAGAAAACATTATTTCAAAGTCTTTGTAAATGAAACTATGTGGTAGTAAAAAGAAATAACAAATAGATCAATGTAACAGGCTAGAACCCAAAATTAGATCCCAGACTAATTAGGAATTTAATTATAACAAAAGTGGTATATCAGGATGATTTGGGCTGCAAGTAATAGGAACCATGAATCAAACTAGCTCTAATGATCAAGAAGCGTATCATACTGTCTCAGAGTTAGGTAGGACTTCAGATTTGGTTAATTTGGTGACTCAATCATGTTATCCAAGACCATTTCCATACCTCTACTCTGCTATCTTGAATGTTATCTTTGTAATTAGACTTAGGGCAAGATGACTACAGTTTCTTAAGAATTACATCTAGACATAATTATTTGAAGTGAAAAAGTGATCTGTAGCCTGGTCTTGATAAAAATAGAGCTTTTTCTAGAAGTCTCCCATTAAATTTTTTCTCATGTCTATTGATCAGCCACACAGCCTACACCAGCGATAGGGAAGGGAGATGGAATTCCTTCTAGTTCTAGTACTGCTGTGAGAAACTGGAACTCTATTTCACCTAGTTTAAAAAAAAATCCCAGATGAACTTTTAAAGACTTTAATAAGAAGAAGAAGAAGGACAAGAAGAAAATTTAAAAAGAAACAATTAAAAATCTTAGAAAAATTTTCTAGAAAACTGAACTATAGCTTAAGGGCTAGAGAGACCTCTTACATAAGTTGGGAAATCTGAAAACTATAAAAGAATAGAAAATATATTTGAATACTTGAAAAAATTTTAATTTTGTGTGGATAAAGTTTTAATAAATGAAATTAATGTAACTGGGAAAAAGTAATTGCAAAGCAGACAACATATAATGGGTTAATATGCAAAAAGCTTTACAGATTGGTACGAAAAAGCAGAAAACTCAGTAGAAAATTGAAGGATAAATCCCAAAGGTCAGTAATTATTTGAAAAGGTGCTCTCCTAACTTTTAGTCAGAGAAATGCCAATTAAGGTAATAATAAGATATTATATCTAACCTTTCAGGAAGGGCCATAGGGAGAATGGTACTCTTGTTTATCACTAGTAGAAATGTGAATTACAACCTTTATAGAAAGATATTTGTTAAAATATATGTACATATACCCTATGACCAAGCAGTTCCACTTTCAGGAATGTGTCCCATAGAAATAAAAGCACTCAATACACTAAGGAAATTCTACAAATATTTATTTCATAGCACTGTTTGTAGTGACAAAAAAGTATGAAATCACGTGAATGCTCATCTGTAGAGGGATGGTTGAGTAAATTGTGATCTTGCTATTTTGTGAAATGTAGCTATTAGAAAGAATTAGTTGTATCTGGTTTGGCTGACTTGCTGTTGTTTCATGATGTATAGTTAAGTGTGAAAAATATGATGCATAGAAGAGTATATAATATGGCATCAATATTATAAAATATGACCAATCACCCCATGCACATGTAAATATGTCAATATTTATTAAAAAAAAGTATGAAGAGATATGTACCAATTGTTAATACTGGCTTGGAAGTGGGGGAGGGTGTAAAAACAAGTTCTGTAAAGTTATCTTAAAAATCAGATTTTTAAAGTTAATATCCTAGTTTGAGATGAGTTAAGGACAAGATGGGAAACACAAAAGAAGTAATATAAATGGTGAATAAATAATGAGATGGTATTTTTAGACTGCAAGATTAATGAAAAATGATAGTACATGGCATATATCAGAAAAAATATACATTCCCATATATTGCAGGTGTGAATGCAATTTCAAACAAACTTTCTGGAGGATAATTTTTATCAAAAAGTTTAAAGAGTACAAGGATACTTATCAGTATTGTGTATCATGACAAAAATTAGAAAAAATCTAATAGGAAATTCATTTAAAATGTCATCATAGTTTATCAAATACTAGTAAGCATTATAGTTATGTGGGAAATGTGGATTGATATAGAAGAATATTTGGATTATATTTTGAAGGTGAAAATTCAGGTTACAGAAAAGATGAATAGTATTACCTCGTTTTTAATTAAAAAAACACATAAATAATTTCCACAAGGATGAACATGAAAATATTAACAGGAGTAACAGTAGGTCCAGCAACAGCAGACTTCACATTCTCTTCAAGTGCACATGGAGCAGCCACTGAAATAGATCGTATTTTAGGTTATAAAGCAAATTTCACTAAACTTAAAAAAGCTAAAGGTCATTTAAGATATATTCTAAGTCCATAATGGA